ATCTCCCGAGGGGTCCCAGACTGCGAGAGGGCACAGGCCGGGCTGAGGGACCCCCCTCCCCCCGAGTGCACAAATTTTTGTGTACCGGGCCTCTAGTAATCTATAATAATAAAAGCATAAAATGCTAATTAGAGTGGACAGCCGAACGACCTTCCAGATGTTCTTCTGGATGACCTGGACAAAGCCAGAGCTGCAAAAGCTGAGCCCCTTGCACGAATTCGTGCATCGGGCCTCTAGTCTATAATAATAAAAGCATAAAATGCTAATTAGACTGGACAGCCGAACGACCTTCCGGATGTTCTTCTGGATGACCTGGACAAAGCCGGAGCTGCAAAGGCTGAGCCCCTTGCACAAATTCGTGCATCGGGCCTCTAGTCTATAATAATAAAAGCGTAATATGCTAATTAGACTGGATAGCCTCCAGACAAAGCCAGGCTGCAAGGGCCGAGGCAGCCACTGCAGCTTCGAGGGCCAAGCCCCTTGGCACAAATTTCGTGCATCGGGCCTCTAGTAGTTTTAAAAAGAGATAGAGTGTAGCTTCTTTTGAAAGTTTTCATCCTAATGATTTCTACGAGCTTTTTTTCTTATTTTGGAACTATTAGAACATAATCAATTTTGTATATTACAGAGAATAGTAAAATGCTGATAATTATAAATTGTTTATTCAAGTATATTCATCAACTGAAATGTTAAAAAATATTGAGAAAACATCTCTTATAATGAAAAAAATTTAAAGTAATCCATCTAAGAAGAGTTATTCTGAGAATAATTTTCCAGGTATATCTGAAAAGGTAAATTGATTTTAAAGGGTGTGTAAATGGTTAATTAAAAGACATCATTTAAAAAAACCTGTATATGATTCACTATGGGAGCCTCTGCGGAATGCCCTGAGGTAGATATCTGTCAAGCCAGTGGGCAAATAATTTTTCATGCAACAAAAGAGAATATTTGTAGTAGAATATAGAGAAAATACATGTTACCTGAAGTTTGTGCTAACTTTTACAATATATGTGTGTTTTGTGTATTCTCTCCTAGGTATGAGAAAGTGCCAGTCATCTTGGTTGGGAACAAAGTGGACCTGGAAAGTGAGAGAGAAGTGTCATCCAGTGAAGGTAGAGCCCTTGCTGAAGAGTGGGGCTGCCCCTTCATGGAGACTTCTGCTAAGAGTAAAACAATGGTGGACGAACTCTTCGCAGAAATTGTGAGGCAGATGAACTATGCTGCGCAGCCTGACAAAGATGACCCATGCTGTTCTGCATGTAACATACAATAGCATTCAGAAATGCCGATCCTGGACAGGCTTTGCCAGGTATCATAGGTGATACAAGCCTCGTCTGCCGACTGCAGAGTTTGCAGGATGTGTGGTGTGAATCTATGGTGAAATAGCAGCCCTCATTCAGAATTCAGCAGTGATTGTCCGTTGATATCTCTGAGTAACATTTGGGTTCAGTAACTACAGTTTTCACCATTGTCCTCAGTCTCCTAGACACACCTGCAACTTTGAGGCATAGCCAATCAATCTACAGGGTGATCTCCTTTGAAAGCAACGATGGCATCGTCGCTGAGTTGACCGAAGCAACTATTGTATAAATTAAAAGTAATCATGAGAGAGAAACCAGAAGAATTCCTATGACCACTACAATTAAAATATTTTATCTTCTGTAAAAAAATAATAATAAGTAAAGGAGAAATATTTTCCTACAAGAGTACTGAATTTCAGAATTGAGATAGTGCTTCTAATCAATGTATTCTGTCAAGTAAAATAACAGCTGACCTGCCAACAGCATTACAGGGAGAGATTCTTTGCTCAACTGACACATTTCTGTTTTTCAAAATTGATGCTTAATTGTAGATGTTATCCTAATTTGTGACACAGAACTAACTCATGCATCAGTCCTTGCTAGAGCAAAAGTCAAAACAGGTTGTGTAAACATACAATCTCGCTTTAGAAGTGTAAAGTCACCTGCTTTGCCACAGAAAATGGAGGCTCTCACAAGGGTTTGATCTGAATTAAAGCCCCAACCCACCCTCTGGTAATCAAGCAGATATGGTCTTTATTACATTTCTAAACAAGAAGGAAGCAACTGTGATGCAAAGAAACTGCGCAGCCTTACTAACAAGAAGCGTTCTAGTAGTAGCTGAACTAGTACCATCATGTAAGGAAAATGAAGCCATGTTGCATCCATATGTTCCCGTTTGCAGAAACCTCACAGGACAGTACAAGTATTTTGCATTTTTATGTTTGTTAAAGCAGCAAATTCCTTCTTGCCTTTAAGGGCTATGGTTGTGGTGTGATTCTTGGTTAACCTGCTTTCCAAATCAAGTTTGCTTGTAGCAGAGCATTATTGCAGGCATTTAAAAAGGTTGAATAACCATGTGAAATAATTTGGGCTTAAGAGTAGAACATAAATTATAGAGTGGAAGGTAAGAGACAAAAAAAAAAGTCTTTTATCTTTAATTTTCCTGGAGAATTATGTAAAGATTTTCCTATAACAATTTTGCCCTGATTACTGAAGTGGCAAATAAAGCTAGAGAATATTTTGTTTTGAAAAGGTGCTCAAGCTTCAACATTTCTGGTTTCATAGCCGTGAAGTATTTATCGTTTGCATGACTAATGGCACAGGAAAAACCTATACAGTCAAGTGTAGGAAGGGTTTTTACCTAACCTCAGAGTTATAAATGCTAAAGAGAGTACTTTAAGCTGATTCTCATGGTAAATTTGGCCTTCGGAACTGCAATATCGCTGAGCCTGTGGTCTACATACCACCCCACATTTTGTTGTTCCATACTCTTGTGCAAGTAACCTCTGGTCTTATGTGTGTAACTGAGAGAATAGTGTATGTTGTGTGTGCATGTGTGTTTTATCGTTCCTAAGAATTTGGCACAAGTCAGAGATGATCGCCTGTACTGAGAATCCGTGCTGCAGAAAATAATTATCAAAAACATCTTTTTCTTTTAAATTATTTATGTGTTTGTTAAACATCATTGAAATCATTGGTAGCCCCCAGTGTTTAGTAAACCGGCAGTAAGCTTAAAGGATAGAAAAAGGGTGGATAGTAACTTCTTATAGATGAGAAAACAAGTGTGTGGGTGAAACCGGGCCAGAATGTTTCCATTCTTCAGTACAGATTTGTTTAGAAACCCCCATTATGAAGCACCTTGTTTATAGGACAAAAAGTTCTAACCAATTTCATTGGAACAAATTTTATCGTGTAAAAAAGTTGATTTGACTCAACCTGTAAAGAAATCAAAGGTTTAAGAAGTATGATTTCTTCACTGAAATATAAATATTTGTTAGTGAATTGGTTGAGTTTTGACGCCTCTAACTTCTCAGAATGATAGAATTCCATATTTAACAGCAACTTATGACAACTAAGATTCTACATTAGAAACCTTTATAAAGATTCTACAGTTTTACCTAATGGATTGCTATGCAGATAAGAAAAATAAGTTTAATAATATGAAAGGTATGGCAAAATGTAAGGTGAAAAGATTATTTAAAAATTGGGGTTTTAGTTAGAAGTGTTTGTGTCAGACAGTAAGGTGGGCTTTCCCTGTAAAGATGTTAATAATAACTGACTTGGCTGCCTGATCACAGTGTTTCCTACGTACTTGGGGACAAAACGTCAACGGTGATATCCAGAAACGTGGAAACCCTCGTGTGCTCTTACTGTTGGTATTTCATCTGGTATGAATATAACTCAGCTTGAATGAATGTGTTGAGATGTTAATAAAAAGCTTAAGAACAGGAGGATTAAATTTGTTGTCACATGAAATAATAGTGGCTACAGAGAAAAGTTGGTGACCTTGTATCACTATTATTTTATGCCCTGATCAGACTAGCAACTAGATAAGTGGAAGTTTTTCTAACATGCCTTAAAAATATTATGGTTTGATCCAAAGACCCACTTTTTTTTTAAAGCTATTATCAGTTTTGTTGGTTTTGTTTTGTGATATTTGCTTTTCTATATAAAAAATGTTGACTAAGGATGTCTGCTATTTGTGTTCAAGACTTGTACAGTGGGAATGTTGTCTCTTATGTGTGAATATGAAAGTGCTTTTTTGTTTGTTGCTGTTGGTTTTTGTTTGTTTTGTTTTTTAGTTTTTTGTTCTTCTCGGTAGTCCTATGTTAGCACTGGGTAAGCTTTAAATGTCTCCTTAGCCAATCAAATCTTAAAGACTATGGGGGTCTTTTCTTTTTTTTAATTAACATGTCATTGTGCATCTATTAAATCTTGATCAGGGTTTCAAGAATGACTGCAGTGGATTTTGGAAACAGACTTATCATTATTGATTTGGGGTTTCCCAGAGATAAATATAGTTCACAGTTAATTGTTGAGCTCTAATACAACTGACCATTTAAAAATTTAACAACAGTTTATTGTTTTGTAACAATGTCAGTTGTTAAACCTTGACATTTCAATTAAAACATGAATTGTAGTTATAACTCTGCAAATTCAACAGTTGTATTTGGAGTTAAATTATTTTAACAAATAAATTTATTTAATGAAATTTTCTCTGGATTTTATTTGGTTTTGTACATGTTCATGATTGAAATGTATTTACCACATACAAAAACAACTAGAAATTGCCACCAAATGAATTTAATACTCTTCATACAGAGATATTCAAGCTGAATAAAATTGAGAATTCATCATATTAAAAGGGAGGTTAGGAGTTAATTTTCATACCCTTTATAAAAAAAATAACACGATTTAAAAGTCAGCAATCACAAATACATATAGACTTACCTCATAGTTTTATACATATTTTATTTTCATTTTCTGCCCACAAGTTTATTCAGCACAAAATAATGCTATCTGGCTAATTTGAAGTTTCAGTGCTAATCTTAACAGAACTGTTCTAGGTAACATTACTAGTAATTAGCAGTTGCTTTATGGTCTTGCTAGTATCACCAAAACGCATCAGTGTCCTTCCAGTGATGGCTTGGAGCTGTCTTTCTGGTCCTGTGGCGTTTGAGGTGCCAGAAGCTGGAGGTAGTAGCTGGCGGACCTGCCTGTTCTATATGGGGCCCTGTGAATGTTGACAGATGCTGTTAATTATATACAGCTTCAGCTGCTCTGATAAGGAGCCCATTCATTCCCAAGCCAATTTAAACTATGCCTTTTGGTTATGTTGCCTTCAATCTCTGTTGAAATCCCCTGGCAACACTCCACCAGTGTAGAAGCTCCATTGTGCTAGGATATAAGAATAATTTGAATGAAGATAACAGAGGTACTGTTGACAGAATCTCAAATATTTAAAGGAAAATGTGCCTATATTTTAGCACCATAGATAAGTATCTGCTGGTTAGCTTTCTTTATATTCTCACTTGAAGCAGTTGTAAAGTATTTAAATTAATCAATTCTCGTTTCAATTGGAAGAATTTCTTTGTGACAAAAAAAATAGTATTTTGAAATTCTCCCAAGTTACACAGTTTATTGATTGTTAGAGGTCCATGAGTGGACATGCAAGTAGCTGAAGAAATAAGGTGCCACCCAATTTGGAGCCCATCTGACTCTGGGACCTTTCTTAATTTCAAATATCCCTGTTTCCATATAAATTCTAAAAGGACAGTGGCACTTCATTGGTTAAATGGGTTTTGTTTTGTTTTTCTAGTTTTTGTTTGTTTTAAATCCTTTATCTATTAGGTTTTTAAAGATCTGCCACTCTTCCAGGTATAAGGTGATGTGTTATTTCTTGCAATATTTTCTTAGAACTACTCTTCATGTTACTAAGAATTCCTCCAAGACTTATTAGTGGAGAAGAAGGGAGGAGACTATCTACTTAAAAGATTAAATACAAACACCTTTTTAAGTACACACAAATTAGGAAAAAAGAAACCAAAGAAATGATACTTGGTTTAGGGGAACTTTTTATAAGCTTCTTCCATTTCAAAAACTCAAAAGTATCAGCCCCAGCCAGTTTGGCTCAGGCTCTCGGACTGAATGGTCCCGAGTTGGATTCCAGTCAAGGGCATGTACCTTGGTTTCAGGCTTGATCATCGGTGAGGGTGCAGGAGGCAGCCACTTGATGTGTCTCTCACATCGATGTTTCTCTCTGTCTCTCCCCCTCCATTCCACTCTAAAAAATCAATGGGAAAAATATCCTAGGGTGAGGATTAACAAAAACAGCCCTCAAAAGTATCATGTTTCATTGCTTTTTCATATGATTACAATTTAAAAATGACAGCATGTGGGATATAATAGATTTTTATCTTTAAAAACTTAGATATTAGTGAAAAATACAAAAATAAAAGGAAAAGCCATCCAATTCCCTAGTCCACAAAAACAAAACAAAACATATTAACATTTGTAAATCATTCCAAACATCTTTCTATGCAGATACACACAAGACATAGCTAGAAGGATGAATAACTCCATGCTACTCATGAGAAACTTGCTATAAAACAAATCATCCAAGGTCACTTGACTAATAAAGTGGCAGAGGTAGGTGCAGACCCAAGCTTCTAACTTTCAATCATCTTTTCCTCTCTGTTAATTCTTCTGGTGAAGTGATTCCACTTACCCAGGCTCATTCAGCTATTGCTCATTGAGGGTTACACCTACATTTAACATGATGCAGCAATATACAAATAGGCAATACATCATCCCTGATATACAGCTTAATTCTGGCTGCTATAACAAAATACCATAGACTGGGTAGCTTATACAACAAACATTTATTTCTCACACTTCTGGAGGCTGGGAGGTCTGTGATTAAGACTGACAGATTTGGCCCAGCCCGTATGGCTAGGTGTTTGAGCCTCCACCAAGAACCAGGAGGTCACAGTTCAATTCCAGGTCGGGCACATGCCTTGGTTGTGGGCTCAATCCCCAGTGGGGAGTGTGCAGGAGGTAGCCGATCAATGATTCTCATCATTGATGTTTCTCTCTCTCTTCCTTTCCCTTCCTCTCTGAAATCAATAAAAATATACATATTTTTAAAAGTGACAGATCTGGTGTCTGGTTAGGGCCCATCTCCAGGTTGCAGACTGCCGACTTCTCACTGTAACCTTATTTGGTGGAAGAGAGAAGGCAGCTCTCTGAGATCTCTTTAATGATGATACTAAGCCCATGCATGGACTCCACCCTCATGCCTAATCCCATCCCAATACCATCACACTGGGGATTAGGTGTCAAGGTATGAATTTTGAGGGGATTCAACCATTCAGTCTATATATGGCACTGGTTTTGTCTCCTTGCCTTTCCCTTTACCTCAAGTAGATACAAATTAGCCCTACTGGCAAGAAATAATTCATTTGTACCTTTTCTACTTCTGCCTGCCAGTACTCCAGTAACACAGGCCAAGCCCGAGTCCTGGGCACAGCCCACAGAGGCTGCTGCTGGCTCAGTTCTCTCAACAGCCAGCATGACCAGCCTGAGCTCTTCCATTCTGAGAATTTGAGGCATCTGGATGCTGGTGGGTGGGAGTGGATGGCAATACAACAGAGCTCCAGGGCTCCGCTGTTGTAGGATGTGTCTACTTCCTAAGGAAGTGTTCAGGCTAACAATGGGATCTGCAAGGGGCCAGCTCCTGGAGGGTGGACAGC